GCTACAGGAGCAGTATGAGGTGTACGAACGCTTGGGCGAGAAGCCGTTCAAGCCGAACAACGAGAGGTCGACGGGGTAACGACATAAGTCCGCCGCCATAAGTTCGCCGTTTTAAAACGACATAAATTCGCGCGATCTTATGACGCTTGGGGACGCCATAAGTTCGCCGCAGGAAAAACGACATTATTTCGCCAGCCGCGATCTTATGTCGCCGAAAAGCGTACGTACATGCATACGTACATCCAAGCCGCGAAATGAAGTCATTTTTTCTGTGGCGAACTTATAGCGCTTTGAAGCGTCATAAGTCCGCCGCAAGTAATTTTTGAACGCCATAATTTCGCGCGAACTTATGACGCTTTTCGGCGACATAAGATCGCCGGAAAAAGACGCCATAATTTCGCGGACCAAATGTACTGGGCGAACTTATGGCGGCGGACTTATGTCGCTATGCCGAGGTCGACGCCGGACAATAGGATGCAGCGCGAGTTCAACCACAGGAGGAGTTACTGCTTCAATTGTAGATCTGTAGATCATTTTTGCAAGGATTGCAAGGCTGCCGTGAAATGCTTCAGATGTAACGAGGAGGGGCACATGTCGAGGGATTGCCCTGAATCAACTGCAGATGTTCAAGTTGTACGCAGTGCCAATCGCATGAAAAAGGTTACCATCAACGACGTTGAAGTGGAGTGTCTGGTAGATACGGGAGCCGACGTATCTATTTTGCGCAAGTAGTATGTCTTTGAAAAAATACCCAATATCATCTTGAGGAGATGTGCGTCAAAGCTGCGTGGGCTTGAAAAGAGGATGACGTGCCCAGTTGGCTACTTTTTGGCTGAAGTTGAAGTAGATCAGGAGTTGACGACACACAACTTTGTTGTAGTGGAGGATGCGGACATTGAGTATGATGCGCTGCTGGGTTTCGATTTCATCTCGAAGTTCGAATTTTCGATGTCAGCCGATGGATACAAGTTTTCTTCCCAGCTGGAGGAGAAGGCTTGTGAGAAGTCAAATCAGTATGATAAAGAAGTGTCGCAGCTGATCAAGAACTACAAGGCCGTGAATACAGTCGTAGAAGTCCCAGTCAAGATGCGGATGAAGGTGCTGAAGAATCCGCCAACGGATCGAAATAGAAGAACCATTGGCTATGAGGGAGTGACCAAGAAGCTGACCCGCTGCGTCCAAGAGTGTTTGGCGGAGACGCTGCGAAGAGCAAGCATAACATCAGATCTGGCCAGCAACCACAAACTGCTTGAGTTGCGCAAAGCCCAGATTGGTGGCACCAAGAAGGAGAAGTCGCTGACTAAAAAGAAGTACCAGCTGCTGCAGAAGAAGTCGACCCACGATGAGATCTTCGCCCGCTGCCAGGAGTTGGCCTACATGAAGATGCGTGAGTCCCAAAAGTCGGCCATAGAGGACCGCAGAATTTTGAAAAAAGAAGCAGGAAAGTCGAAGAAAAGATACAAAGATAGAGATTCAATGAGAACTGGAATTGTATAAGGAAAACTTTGATCGAAAACGAAAACCGGAAGTTGATTATAAAGTTGGAGACTTAGTCGCTATACGCCGGACGCAGTTTGTAGCTGGTTGCAAAAGTGAAGAGGAACGGCAGGTACGAAGTTCGGAAGGCCAGTTGTGACTACATGAAGCTGTGGCGATATGTGCAGGACAACGAGGATGAGTGGTCATCTGGGACAGATGAGTAGTCAGGAATGGCCGAATGTCAAAAGGGAAGTGATCGAAGCAGGCGGAGAGCTTCGAAGTGACGGCAGCAAACAGGGAGAGTTCAGCAGTTCGGTTGAAATTCAGCAGATAAAGAAGCAGAGAAAGTAACTAAAGTTGAAAAGAAAACGTAAAAAGCAGATAATAGGAAAAAAAATTCGCAAATTTTAGAAACATATATAATATCCGAAAATTATCATAATAAAACGTAACATAAGAGGGTAAATACCCATCTCACATGTATGTCTACCAAACCTAGTTCAACTCGGAAAAATAAGTCATATAGCTGCCATACAATCGATCGGCTGGACAAAAGAATTTAATATGAGTAACTTTCTTGTTTTTCAAGATACATACATATGTTAACCAAACTTTCAGATTCTATCCTTAATGGGGTCTTCATACAGAGCTTGCAGCTGTATCCCCCGTCTGTTGAACAACCGGTCCATACCGTATCCGCATCCGTTGTGCATCTAAATTGTACACCCTTCTATTGGGGATAGTTAGGTGATAGTTTTTCGGTGCAAAACTTCTATTCTTCCATAAGGATGGTCCAATATTGGGGTGAACCATGCATGAGTGATAGAAAAAATAAAATAGTTGTTCACGCCAGAAAGGCGTTTAATTTCGGAAGGCAGTGTGATCCCGGACGCTCTCCTTTTCTCTCCCTCTTCCTCCGGGCTCCCAGTCATAGAGCTTCTAATCCGCTCTCACTACCTTTAGTTTTGTTCTTTGTTTAGTACCAATTTACTCCCCTCCAATAATAGTGATTAATAATAAAATGATTAATATTAATAAAAAGAATATGAATTGGCCTGCTCAGCCCAAGCTTGGAATTAGTTCTTAACTTGTACATATCAAGTGAAATTTGCGACACCAAACATGTGCTTGATCGTGTTAGGTGCGAGGATGCGAGGAAACTACTACTGACCTGCTAACAAATGAGCTTTTGTTATTAATTCAGAATGTTGGTATAAATTTTATGAAAATCGGACAGCTATATCTTATAGCTGCCATAGAGGCGATCGGTAAATGAAGAGAAAATGTAAATCTGTAACTGTCAAACTGTAAACATAAAAAGTATCAGAGAGCGGCAGCCGGATCAACCGGACCACCGGATAAACACCGAGTATTTTTGACACCCGAGTTATTTTTCGGCAACGAGAATAGGGTGCGAGTAAACACTCGACAATAATTCTCGTATATTTGTGCACACAAGCGTAGTTCGTCTACGAGTCTTATTTTGATTCGGTGTGTGTGTTGAAGTTGAGCGAGAAATGCTCGAAAGAGAAGTGAGTAAAAGCGAGAACACAATACTCGAGCCTAAAACAACACCCGGTGACTAGATGCTCTCGTTTATTTTTGTGATTCCTTTTGCAATCTGGTACAACCAAAATTCATTTAAGTAAATTAAAAGAACAGTATACATTTCCTGATGCCCATATGATACACTAATGCAGTTTTCATTAATTAGCTACTTCATTAGAACCTTGAAAGAGACCACTATATGTGTAATTTTGTGTAATTTGGCTTGAATTTTGCTTGGATTATTTTGGTAATACGACTACGGTCACACCGACCGTAAAAGGTAAACAAAAAAAAACGGCCGCCATTCCAGGCGTATTACTATGAATTTCTGAAGTATTCTTGCAGAAATAAATGCAGAATCCTTTAAATTTATGTTTTTAACCTATAATGCTTAAATTTTTTTAAATTATTACCAAAAAAAATTTTTCAATTAATTTTACAGCGTAAGAACCTTGCCCTCGCAAAACATATTATTTTTCCTAATATTCTAATATTTTTTCAGTTCAAAAAACCAGCGAAATGATATAAAAATAAAATTCTCATTGTGAGACCATACTGTCAATAAGCTGGCTAATACATTTTTCAATTACAATTTTCTTCATTAAACCCGTATTTTGTTATCGAGTATCTAGTATATTTTATGTAGATCTATCGATTATCGCGGCAATGAAGTAGCTAATGCATTATTCTAATGCATTAGAGCGCCATATAGTCGTCTTGCTCGCCCTTGTGTAAAAACGCTATAGCGCTGTCAAATCTTTAATGAAGTCTCTAATTAATGCGGCTGTGTCATATCAGCATGATTTCTTGTTCTTTTAATTAACCAAAAATAATAACATATATATGGTACATAGTTCATTCTATATTTCGTTGACACATAGTAAAAAAACCGAATGCTAATCGAACGAGTGGGTAAAGCACACAAAAACTACTCGGGTGACTTCAAAACACCCGAGTATTTTTTTGTGTGCTTTACCCACTCGCTCGTTTACTTATGTGTGCTTCAACTACTCGCTCGTTTAGTTATGTGTGTGAGTGCCACCGGCACCGAGCAACGAAAAGTACCGGGTGTAAAATGAATAAAAACAATCGCTGAAAACGTAATCGGGTGCTCGGTAGACATGCCACTCGTTATACTCGTGCAAGTTTATGTGTGTGCGACTCGTTTACTTTATTTGCCGGTGGTAAGAAACACCGGCACCAAAATTTTGACAAGTGTGAATAGAGTTGTCGAAACAGGCACCCTTGCCGTTCTCTGATAAGTATAGGTAAAATAAAATGAACGAAAACTGAATGAAACTTTGCATATAGTCTACTCTCACTGCTATATATGTCGGAACGGGCCGGATCGGACGACTATATCATATAGCGCCCATACAAATGATCGATAAATTTTTAGAAAAAAAATTATAACTTGACTGTTTTTCAACAGTGAAATGACAATCGGACGACTATATCTTATAGCTGCCATAGGAACGATCGGGAAATTAATAGGAAAAAATTGTATAACTTCGTTGTTTTTCAACGTATTTTCATCTACTCGGAGATATAAGCTTATTTTATTATTCTAGAATTTTTGTATAAATTTCATAAAAATCGGACAACTCTATCATATAGCTGCCATAGAAACGATCGGTAAATGTAGTAAAAATGTAAAGCTGGGAATGCAAAACTGTAACTGTCAAACTGTAAACATAATAAGTATAGGTAAAATATAATGAAATAATATCTGCAAGGGTATACAAACTTCGGCGTGCCGAAGTTAGCTCCCTTTCTCGTTTTGTTATAATATTAAATTGTTTTATATTTATTTGAAATATTTGTATAATTATAAAACTTTATATCAAATAACAATTTTTTTTTCAGATTAACGATTCCTCAAAAGATTGAAAGAACTGTGCCTGTACTACCAAAGGATACCATACTAGCTGATTTATTACGGCAATCAGACCTAGTTTACAATTACCATGAGCATGACAGTCTTTTAGAAAATAAAGTAGAGCAAGAGTTAAGTGAACAAGAAAAATCGGATGCGTGGGATACATACGAGAAGGAGTTGCATTTAAATTTTGGTATGATTTTGCATGATTTATTATAAGGGGATTTTATATTTATTGGTTAATAGTTTTAAATTTTATTAATAAAGTAATATTAAGTTAAAATTCAAGTCGTCATCTCGTCTTTGGTTGAGTAGTCGTATTCACTCGCTAAATATTGCTCGTCTTCTCTCGGCATTATTGTTGTCTAGTAAAGTTTTTTTATTTAAATAAAAACCATATAATAACACAATATTTGAACAATTTTTGATACATTTTTTATTGAAAAATATTTAGAGGTAGAGGAGTTACAGGGAATCTCCCGAGTCGCCTCCAAGAAAAATTGGTTTGCGGTGTACATCCTGACTGTCCACAGAATCATCTGAGCTAAAAAAATTATATTTCATTCGTTAAAGGATAAGTGTCCCGAGGTATTCACAAAGCGTTTTTATTTAAAAAATTTTTTCCCGATTTTCTAACAAAATTGAAAGTCAAAATCCCGATTTTTGACTAAAAAATTAAGTTAATTTGTTAAATATAAATGTTATAAAATTAAATATTTAAAAAAGCTCAACGTTAGTGCCTGTAGAATTACTTAACGAAGTTATGTTTCAAATTTCAAACCGATCGCGATCGGTTCAGTAGATTTTGAGTTATCGTGCACACCGATTTTCAAAATGGCATTTTTTAGGAGAGCGCTTTAAACTTTGTGATGCTCATGCATTGAACACTAACCGGCCTTCGTTCAACTCTGCATAACTTTGTCAACTTTCCTATGATCGATGTAAAACAATGGACACAAAAGATATTGAGCCATTAAAGTAAAAAATAAAAAAAATTTACGGAAATAAAAAAATTAAATACCTTACCTAACGCTGTGTCCTTTTCCTTTTTCAATTCCTTTCCTTTTCAATTCCTTTTTACCTTCCAACACACACGCAGGTGTGGTGAGTTCTCAGAAAACAATATCCGTCCCTTTCATACACACGCCCAGACTACGTTGGCAAAACGGTGTATGCCTCGCACGAAAGGACAGTGAAGCAATAATAAATTAAACAAGTGTGTACAAAAATCGTTATAATTTGAATTAACAAAATAATCTGCGACACGGCCTTCCTGACGTATCTCGAGTCCTCGTGATTCTATAACATAACGGTTTAATTCATTCTCTTATTTTCTATAGAGATTCAAGTTCAAGCGGGTTTCGCAAAATACCTTCTTTCTTCATTTAATTTTCTTAGATCATTTCAGAATCAGAATCGAACAAAATTATTTCAAAGTTTTCTCTTAGACTTCTTATTTCTTACTTTTAAACAACTTATGCCATGAGATCCGGATTACCACCAACTTAAGTCCAAACAATTCATTCGTTTTAAACATCATGCCAACCACTAGCACACAGTCATCCACAAGATAACCTGGCCAGTCAATAATTGAGTTAGTTTAGCCCACAGCTTATGTCCAGACAAACCGGCCATCTTAAATAGCTCGCAATTTAGTTCACAGGCCGGCCAAATAACAATTCATCGAACGTTACCAAAGTTTCAGCCTTCCTGCAGCAAATGGCGAACCATATAACTCGGGCACCCACCTGCACAGAAAGTCATGAAACGTGGAACTGATTCGGGCGTGTCATGACACGTCTTCATTCTACTTCAAATCACAGCCCTCACCGGCTTGATCTGTGGCACCTTCATCATCCAATTCCGTGGTCTCTCCATCACAACCTTTTTTTTTTTTTTTTTTTTTGCAAGACGTTGATGCACTATGTACAGTACTTGCCACACCAACCACGTGCTTGTTCTGTTAGCAGTTAGTAGGCGCGAAGGAATTAAATATGAAAGAATGCGGGGAAACTACTACTGGCGTACTGCCTGGTTGGTTGCTTGTATGCGTACTAAGTGGGTTAAGATTGAAGATTTTAGTTTTGGGAGGCTATCAAGATTAGATAATATGGTGTACAGATCATTATAATTTACACAGAGGACTCTAAAGGGTTCATGCAGTTCAAAGGATATTCTACAATGGGGCAAAACTAATGGTAAAAAGGATCTAGCGTTTCTTATTGGTACGTGAAAATTTAGCTGACCGAGCAAGTCAGTACTTTCCACGTCACCACGGATTAAGTTGTATAAGAATGTAATACCTAGCATGGTTCTACGATTAGATAGGGAGGGTAAGTTAATTAGTAAGAGTCTACTAGAATAAGACGGTACCCTCTGGTTTGCATCCCAGTTTAAACCGCGTAAAGCGAAAAGTAAGAAGTTCTTTTGAACCGATTTTATGCGTTTACTATGGACGCCAAACTGAGGGCTCCAAACGCAGGATCCATATTCTAAGATAGGACGAACAAGTGAAGTATATAAAGTTTTTGTAACATAGCGGTCATTGAATTCCTTCGACCACCGTTTAATGAAACCAAGCACACCCCTGGCTTTATTCACCATGCACGAAATATGATCGATAAAGTCGAGTTTAGGACATCTAAATCATCAATTATATTAATTTTTTCCGAAGAGCAGCCGTGTAGCGTATAAGTAGCAGGCTTAGGAATGACACGGGAGAATGTCATTAGCTAAGTGCAAGCTCATTCTCCATTTAAGTTTAATAAGTTCACGCAGCACCATGTTTGAAAATTGTTAAGATTTGTCTGTAAGTCTGATTGGCAAGTAGCGTCGTTATATTGCACACAAAGCTTGACGTCATCAGCGTACATAAGTACTCTGGAGTTGGTCAAAACTTCGGGCAGATCGTTGATAAATAATGTAAACAGTAGGGGGGTAAAGTGGGGTGATAGAGATCTTCGGGTTGCGTCAGGGGCGCCACCTTAGCTAAGCTAACTCTTTCCGGATATGAGACAAAACAAACATCAAGCAAGCGCTCTAAGCAATTTCGTACATGGTTGACTTGGGACAGCGAAATGTCAAACAAGCCAGCAATAAAATCATGATCTGTTGTTGTAAGAAGTGTATTAGTGAATTTATCTAGGGACCAAATAGCCCCTTGGATGTTAAAATAACCAAGAACTACTAAGTGGTCCCTATCCGAAAGTCTTTTGGAAACCAACTATATAACGAAAAGATGGTTCCAATAAATAGGAAGTTCCGACAATGGAGGAATGTAGGAACATGTAACGAAAATGGAACTACCATTAACTGATAGCTTCACGCAAAAGAATTCAACATTGTTGGACTCCTCGAAAGTTATTAATTCGGACGTGAGAGTGGAGTCGACCGCTATAAGGACACCTCCCACACGTCTGATAGGCCAATCTAGCCGGTATACTGTGAACGCAGCTGGAAAAACTTCGGAGTTCAGAATCTCCGGCTTTAACCAGGTTTCTGTGAACACAATAACTTGGGAAGCAAATGCGACGCTGTCGGAATACAATTTAGGAAGCTTACTGCGTAAGCCTCTTGCATTCTGATAGGAAATACCAAGGGAACTGGTTAGTTTTTTGGGACGGAATTGAAAGACATAGACGGAGCATTGGGCAAATCTGGCCTAGGAAGAGTAATTCCTACAGGCCGCTTTTTCTTTTTCGTACCTTCAAACTCTTTGACAACCACATACTGTGGCCAGGTTTGGGCAGAGCATAGAGTGCCAAAGACTTCGTCAGGAACATTTATCTTGAAAGACAAAATGTTCCTAGGGTAAGAAAATTAAAATTTGTTCACCTTAATTTTTTCTCTATCGACTTTTACTTTGCCTTGGATAAAAGCATCTTCCGATGTCTGATCAGGGGAAAGCCGAGAAACAAATAACTGTTTTGTTGGTGGAATTGCCGTAAGGGGTTTTGGCACGGCAGACTGACCCACCATACCACTTTCGGCCGGTAGTCCGGGCCTGATACCCTGGCAGGGACTTGGATTAGGGCTCTGAGAGGGCTGAGACAACAGTTGGGACCCCCAGTGGACAAAACGGAACTGGGCAACACCGGGGACACGGTCGCACCCGCGACGCATTCGGATACCGAATCTTTTGTAGCGCTCGATCTCAGGATTCTTGGAATTTGTCCCGGGGTCGGGGGCAGAGTCGAGGGAGGTTGCTGTTAAGAGCCTATCAGTGGTGGCTGGGATCCGCCTAGATGCTGCACACCAGTTGCGGTTTTTTTGCGCCTAGGAGACTGATTTAACAGCTTGAGGCTATTAAATTGAGTATCCAGCGCCAAGAACATATCTTGAGTTTTGCGAAAACTCAATAATAGCTCTTTAAAACCACAATTTTTCTTACAATTCTTAGAGAAGCAGACCATGTTAAGAGACATTATGAGGACTTACCACTGTACCGTCACTATTTAAGAGAGGACGCAAGGGAATAAGTGCAGCGGCACTAGAAGAGCGGGGGGGGTCAAAGAGCAGCAGCCCAAACTAAAATGCAAATAAATTAAATTAAATAACACAATAAAGACAAGTAGCATGCACCCGTGGTCTCTTTATCACCACCTTCATCATCCAATTCCGTGGTCTCTTCATCAACACCTTCATCATCCAATACCGTGGTAATCCTCTTCTCAGGCATACGTCTCAATAATTATTATTTAACTCCTCAAGTCTAAACCAATCTCCTAATATTTCGGTCACTTAAAACGGTCCTCTTCCTATTTATCATTAAACATAAGTGCGCTTGATTTAATTGTTACGCCGATGCCCCTACTCAAAATTTCGCAACCAATCGGAGCGTCGTATTCGATATGAACTACGTAGAACTACATACGTGAAATAAAACTTAAAAAAAAATCAAAACATTTAACAGTGGTTTATTCTAGTCTTTAATAATCTCGTGGATGCAGTCTCTTCGATGAGCGGACATCCGGAGTCGAAGTGAAATTGGAACGACTCACCAAACTGCAGCAACGTTATGTTCACGACTTTAATTGTATCGCTCGTGACCGGTGGACGCTTTTGACGATCCGGGCATACCGTAGAAACATGTCCAGATTTTCCACATTTATAACAGATCACGGATGACAGATCTTTCCCTCCTCTATATCCAGATTGTTGATTACGGGGCTGCTCCAAATGAGTTGTCTCTTT